CACATGGGCGTACAGCGCCAGATCCCTCCTGATGGCGTTGGGGTTGCTTTGAATCTGCCGCGATGGTATTTTCGGAACTTTGAAAAGAATTGGACATAACACACATTCCAGGGGTCGACTCTGTGGCGTAGCATTAATGTGCCTTTCAGGGAGGCCAGAGCCACGTGGGGATTGCGGTCCACATCTCTGGCCTGGTCTGCCTGGGGTACACCGGGCATGGGAGTACCAACTTCTGTCTGAAATTGTATTGCAAATACTTTTGTCCTTTTTTCTTCTCAAATATCTCATTTGAGACATTTCAGATATGATGACGACAATAAAACAATAAGGCAGGCCCCGTAGTCTAGTGGTTAGGGGGGCTGGATCCCAGCTGGCTGACCAGGGTTTCAATCTTGGCCTTGGTGGCTTGGAAAGCGCTGCGGGTGCTCGTGCACGCAGGCCCGAATCCTGACAGGGTGGAAAAAGGAGACGGGATCATGGCGTGATTACACTCCATTAGGGTGTGCTTTCTCTTGCCTTCCCCCCTCTGTCTCTGTCTCTGATGAGCACGAGTATCCTATGGCAATTAAAAAGTAGTAATAATGGGACCAGCAGTTAACGTAATGGCTATGTCGCTGGACTCCCACGTAGTCGACTGCGGTTCGAGTCCCGGACCTGGTGGCTTAAACTCACGCTGGGCGCATGTGCGTGTGTGCCCAAGATCCTGAGAGGAGAATGGAGGAGAAGGGATTGCGGCGTGACCATCCCCCCTGGGGGGTGATTTCTCTCTTTCTATCTCTCTGTCTCTCTCTCTGTCTGTCTGGCGAGAGCACGTGCCCTATAGCTAAAACCTCTCCCCCCCAAAAAAAAGTAGTAATATTACTTTGCTTACTGCTGGTCCCCCCTTTTTTTTTTTTAAATAATTATTTAACTTGGGACCAGCAGTTAGCGTAATGACTATGTCGCTGGACTCCCATGTAGCCAATTGCAGTTCGAGTCCCAGACCCAGTGGCTTAAACTCACACCAGGCACGTGTGTGTGCGTGCCCAAGATCCCGAGAGGAGAATGGAGGAGAAGGGATTGCGGCGTGACCATCCCCCCTGGGGGGTGATTTCTCTCTTTCTATCTCTCTGTCTCTCTCTCTGTCTGTCTGGCGAGCGCACGTGCCCTATAGCAAAAACCTCTCCAAAAAAAAAAAAAAAAAAGATTTAACTTAATTAATTAATTAAATTTGACCAAAGAGGGACAGAGGGGGGAGTGATGAGAAAGCAAGCCGCCAGGTCCAGGACTTGAACAACAGCCATGTGGGAGTCCGTCGCCTTTAACCACCACACCCCCTGCCGACCCCTATAGCAAACTTAAAAAAAATTATAAAAAAAATAAAGAATAAAGAAAAAAATGTGTACAATGACAGGAACCTGGTTCTTTGGGGAAGAGAACAATAGCGTTTTTCTCCATGTATCTTCATCCACACGTGCTGTCTCTCTTGCCCTCTCACACACACATATAGAAACCATTATAGGAGCCAGCAGGTGGGTTCATGGTTAAGGTGCTGGACTCCCACATAGTTGACTATGGTTCAAGACCTGGACCCAGTGGCTTGAAACTCGTGCCGGGGGCGTGTGCGCATGTGCTCAAAATCCAGAGAGGAAAAATGGAGAAGGGATTGCAGCGCGGCCAGCCCCCTGGGGGGTGATTTCTCACTTTTTATCTCTCTCTTTGTCTGCAGTGAGTGCATGTGTCCTATAGCAAAAATCTCTCTAAAATAAATAAAATAAAATAAAACCAACTGCCTTCTTTTCCATTTGTGTCAGTGAGCTTTTCCGAGTACTCCAAGGAGGCAGAGCAGTACAAATGCCACTGATAGCCAGGGGACAGCTGGCAGACTGCTTCCTCGGTTTCCACAGGGGCCATACTAACGGCACGTCCCTCAGAGGGCCACTGTGAGTGTCCCTGGCACTCCTCCAAGCTGGGCAGGAGAAGGTGTGACGTGTTTAAGTGTCAGTGTCATCATTTGGCCCGGCCAGACGCGCTGGACTCTGCTGCTGGGTTGGCCGAGGCCACATGGGAGCCAGGATTCGATTCCAGACCACGGTAGGAAGCCAGGCTGGGCAGACGCCTGAGGTTCCAGCTCCTCCGGAGGCTGCAGAGGGGGGAACCGAGGAAGCCCACAGTCACGTCTGAAGAACACGCCCCCACCACACGCACAGAAGCTTTTCATCTGTTAAAATAGATCCCTCCCCGGGGAACCTCCGGGTCACAGGGCGGGTTCGCGTTACTAGACACCGCTGCGCTGCGTCGGCGAGGCTGTTTCCCAGGGCTTCGCCAACGCAGCGCAGCCGCCGAGTCAGCCTCTTTGATCTTTGCCTCCTCGGAGCAGAGTGGGTTCCCAGGGAGGGTTTTAATTTGCATTGATTTTCTAATGAATGTGGTTGAGCATTCTTACTAGGAGGCCGCGGTTTTCAGAGCAACTGCCGCATTCCCTTGGGGAGACTGTGGTCTTGGGCTGGGGAGAGGAAGCAGGGTTTCCGGAGCCAGAGAGCGCGCAGGACCCAGAGGGGCACCTGGCGCGTCCGCGGGCAGCCGGGCTCAGGAGTCGGTGAACGGGCTCTCTGCTCCAGCCGTCAGCGCACAGGACGGCCCCGAATCGCGCAAGGCTCCTTTCCCAGAGGACGATGGCTCCAGGTACTGCTGGCGCCCTAAACACCAGGTCCTGTCCAGCGCTTCAGAGACGCTGGACCTCCCGTCAGCAGTTCGACCCCGGGAGGGCGGGACTACCAAACGCCTATTGGACGGAGGAGACGTTGGAGGCTCTGAGAGGTAAAGCCACACAGAAGTCACACAGCAAGCGAGTGGTACAGTCAGGACTCGACAGCTCTGACTCCTCGAATCCTCAGTAGCGGTTAGCGCTGCAGCACTCATCAGGAGCGTGTCGCTGTTCCAGGCTCCGGACGGAGAAAGGTGGAGACAGTGATCCCTGTCCTTGAGGGACTGATGTTCGGGGGAAGGGCTGACACCCCAGGGGGAGGAGCGAAGTTTCCCAGGCAAACATTCCAATGGCGGGGTTAAAGCTGCAGCGGGAGGGGCTAACACCAAAGTGGGTGGGGCTAATATAGGAGGGGGCAGGGGCTAAAGCTGGAGTGGGCGTGGCTGAGAGAAGCGGGGGCGTGGCTTTAGATGCAGGGAAGGATTCACACTAAAACGGGCAGTGGGAGGACCTAATGGTGCGGTGGGAGGGGCTAACACCAAAGTGGGTGGGGCTAATAGAGCAGTTGGCTGGGGCTAAAGCTGGAGTGGGTGTGGCTAACAGAAGAGCGAGGGGCTTCAGATGCAGGGAGGGGCTAACACTAAGTGCGCGTGGCTAATACGATAATGGGCGGGGCTAACACCAAAGTGGGTGGGGTAGCATGCGACGGCGCGGCCTGACGTTCCGGGCGTGAAGTGACATTCCACAGTCCCCAGAGCCTGCAGTCAGCCCCAGTGTCCCTGAAAGTGTTGACTGAACTCAGCAGGGACAAATCTGCTCCGCCTGGGAATTCAAGCATGTGTGAAAAGTTGGGAGCGTCTGCAGCCTAGGAGGAGACAGACCCGCACAGAATGAGCCCCAGAAAGCTATTCCCGCCCAGGCAGGAGCGGTAATTACGCGTCTAATCACTACCTGTGTTTCTGTCAGGCAGGGAGGGAGGGGAGGCGAGGCGGCGCCCCCAATCTGGCCTGGTTTGAGATGTTCCCAGCCACAGGAGACAGACTGTCATCAAATGTCGGAAAATAGCTGTCATGAGACTTCTCACCCCCCACACCACCTTCCCAGCCCGCCGCCAGACACCCCGGCGCGGCTGCAAAGTCGTAGGTTCTCTCCCTGCTGACGGTGCGGGTGACGAGCCGGGTGCTCTCATCCACCCAGGGCTCCGAAGCCCTCACAGAGACGTACTTGCCCCAGGTTCCAGCCGCGGCATGACGTCAGGGTCGGGATTTGAACTCAAGACCGCCGAGCCCAGAGCCCCTCCCACCCTCCTCATGTGGAGTGACTGAAGGGCTGGGGACGTGACAGCCTAGGGCTGGGCCCATCGCCAGTCATTTGTCCTCTCTCCCCCGTGCATGGGTGGTGGCCCATGACGAGCGGTGACGCATGCACGCATGCAAACATACACACGTGCACAGGCTTACACTGGCCGAGACCAGGTTTCACTGTTAACCACTCACTCTGAAAACAGGGGTCTCCCTTTGCCTCCCCCCAAAGGGAGAAGGTTGGCGAGGTCCAGGCTGGCCGGGGCTGGGGCAGAGACCCCAGCTACTCTGGGACCCAGAGCGGGGCTGGGGAGGGGCGGCTGGGGGGTTGGGGGCTGTGAGCAGGGGAGGGGCAGGAGGCTCAGTGGGGCAAGGACAGAGGTGGGAGGAGCTGGGAAGGAGGAGGCCTGGGCATGGGGGGCTGCCAAAGATGGAGAGGAGAGAGCAGGGCCCAGAGAGTGGGGGGCGAGCAGGGACGGTGCTGGGACCGCCGGGAGGGGAGGACAAGGCCGGCAGTGGGGCCTGAACCCGAGACCCTCCTCCTCCTTCTTCCTTGCCTCCCCTCAAGTCCTGGCACTTTAGGCCTACAGGAGGGCTGGCCAAGGCCTGGCCGAGCCGGCCACCCCCTCTCCCCTTGTCCTTCCAGCACAGCCCCACCCTCCTGCCACAGCCTGGCCGCTCCTGCCCGGCCTCTGCCTTGGCCTGTGGGGGG